GCTCTGCTCCTCGCAGCGTCTGCCCTGTTCTGCCTCGTGCTGGGAGGTAAGTGCCGCTGGGCAGCTCGGGGAACTCCACTCTGGGGTGACACAGGCCTGAGCGGCTCCAGAGGCAGCGGACGCCTGTCTCCCCTGAGCACCTAGAATAGATCTCAATAGTCCTGACACCCAGCCTCCCCCACTAACCACTAGACCCCACTCCCCTCCCAGAGCCAACGATAGAACCCAGGAGTCCTGAAACCCAGCCTCCCCCTCTAAACACTTGTCGTGGAAAAAGTCACCCACGCATTGATTTTAGTTCACAGACTCAAGCCTGAGGCCAGTTTATTGCAAACCATGCCAACGCGTTGGGGTAGCAGTCCGAAAACTACCACGCCTAGCACAGCGCGCAGGCTGCCTTTATTCCGTCAAACCGCAAGCATAGTACAAATAATACGTCATTTATGCGAAAATAAGGGTTGGGATCTGTCCCTTTTTCCCGGCAGCTTCCTCATTATTTATGAGAATTGGGTGCCTATTGGGTGGGGGATTTCTTGGTGGTTTCTGACATGGGTGGTACTTGGCACCAGTTGGAGTGTTGTTCTTGTCAGGGTACATATTTTTTTCCGGGGTCGTAGGGGTTTATTACGGGACGCCCAAAGATGATATATGATTAGCTGGTTGGCAGATAGCTGGAACTATAGGAGAAGTTGGCCTTTACTAGAAGCAATTTCTTCATGTAAGCCGTTATAATGTTTCATCAACAAGTGGTTATCATGTTTTTCATAAACAAGCAGTTATCATGTTTTTCATCAACAAGCGCTTATCATGTTGCTAAGGCCTTTCGCATGGCTTCCTTCCCCTCCCTCCTCTGGTCATGGCCCATGACCGTATTTGGCAGGGAATTGTACAGCTTAGTTTTGTTCAGGCCTTGGCCTGTACTGTTCTATGTAAAGGCCGTCTATATAGTCAGCCTCTGTCAGAGGGCCTGAATTTGGGCCTTTGGTGTTACTTTGGCTGTCATGAAGAAGGCCACCTAGTTCTTTTTCCCCACAATTTCCCCCCTCTGATGCCATGTAGGCATCATTATTATAATTTGCTAAAGAGGCCATAGTTCAGTATTTAGGCTTAGTTCCTTGTAAAAGGGGATCAGTGGACACGAGACTGGCAGTACCGGAGGGGCGGACACTAAGGTGGCTAACTTCTGGGTCTCTAGGAAAGTATAGTGTTGGGGTGGGGGTATCGATGGGTAAAAGAAGGGCTTGGGGTGGTGATTGAACCTGTAGCTGGGGTAAAT